CATTTGATGTTCTAGGGTTTCAGGATTGTTGATTCTCTGTTTGGCTTAGTTTTTCGGATCTTTGTTGTGGAGGGACGGCGTGGTGCTTCTGCCTAGACCGCCATCTTGCCGGAGACCTGGGTCTTCCTGTTTTTTACTCCTTTTGAAGGTTTTAAGATTTGGCTACAGCTGTTTTCTGAGGCAAATTAATCACATGTTTTCATTTAAAAAGTAATTAAAAATAAAAAAAAAAGGAAAACCAAGTATTGCCAGAAGAAACCAGTAGCTTGGAGAGAGGCATGAAACAAAGCCCTCTGAAGGAATTGATGGATACAGAATTGATAAGGTCTCAAAGCCCTCAGAAGAAATTGATACAGTTGATATCCTGATGTGGACTTCTAGCCTGCTGCACTGTGAGAAAATACACTTCTGTTCTTTAAACTTAATCAGTGTATGGTATTTTGTCATGACAGACCAGCAAAACTAAGACAATATGCTAGTACATTTGAAAATCTAAGAAAGAAAAAAAATCTGGAAAAATATAACTCAAAAAAATCTATTAAAATATTAAAAACAAAACAAAATGTTTCAACAGAAGAATAGCCAGGGAAATATAAATGATAAAATAATTATTTTAAACTCTTGAAAGAGGTGATTTTTACAGTAGATATTTCTAATTTTTGTGATCACCTCAATGCTGTGCAAAATCTTCCAGAATATAAGAAATATTGTAAAAATCAGCAAATTTTAAAAGACTTAAAAACCTTGACGTCAAAATCTGAAAAGAAATATAAAAATTAAATGAGTCTTATTTCACCAACACATAGTAAAATACAAGTAAATCTGATTCGTGTTATTTAAATGATCAGTGTTTATTTTAAGTATCATTCCTATCATTCGAATTAATATGCTTTAATAAAATGTTTAGTAAACATTAGCCGCCAGTTTTCCTAGAAGAAAGAAATGGCTTAATAGAAACAAAACTCGTTCTTGCTTCTCTGTATCTTTTGTGTTCTGCATTTGCTGGCTGTATTTTCTAAGCTGAAGTTGCAGTGCCAAATTATATCAACTCCATCATTCAATTCATTAATTAAAAGCTTTTATTTTATTCCAAGCTCTTTCTTTTTCTGTCATTATTCCTTGAATAGGGCATTTATTTTAAGGATGTAATATCTTCTCATCTCTTCATAAGGCTATTAGTTTTAACTTTATTTTTTTTACTTCATTCATTGGCTCTGTTTCTCAACTTTATATTTTGTTAGTTTTGGTCACTCTCTTTCATACTGGTGGCTTTCCTCAAAAGTTTGGTAAACCTTAGCTGCCCAGTTACATTTAAAAGTGAGACACTTGATGCTGATTGGTAGCTGTCTGCAAAGGATTTGTTGATTGGACATTCTTTTACTGTGGTATGAACCACAATAAGCCAATCTTTCTTTAGTAAAACCAAAAAAAACAAACCTGTTGTGGTCCACTGGATTTGGACTTAGACTGACCCTATAGGGCAGAGTAGAACTGCCCCATAGGTCATCCAAGGAGTGGATGGTGGATTGGAACTACCAACCTTTTTGTTAACAACTGAGCTCTTTAACCTTTAAGTGCTGTTTAGTCGGCTCTGATTCATAGCGACCCTATGTACTACAGAGAGAAACAGTGCCGGGTCCTGTGCTATCCTCATAATTGTTGCTATGCTTGAGCCCATTGTTGCAGCCACTGTGTCAATCCATCTCCTTGAGGGCCTTCCTCTTTTTTGCTAACCCTCTACTCTACCAAGCATGATGTCCTTCTCCAGGGACTGATCCCTCCTGATAACATATCCAAAGTCTCACCATCCTTGCTTCTAAGGAGCATTCTGGTTGTACTTCTTCCTAGACAGATTTGTTTGTTCTTTTGGTAGTCCGTGGTATAGTCAATATTCTTTGCCAACACCACAATTCAAAGGCATCAATTCTTCAGTCTTCCTTATTCATTGTGCAGCTTTCACATGCATATGAGGCGATTGGAAACACTATGGCTTGGGTCAGGCGCACCTTAGTCCTCAAGATGACATCTTTGCTTGTCAACACTTTAAAGAGGTCTTTTGCAGCAGATTTGCCCAATGCAATGCGTCTTTTGATTTCTTGACTGATGCTTCCATGGGTGTTGATTGTGGATCCAAGTAAAATGAAATAATTGACAGCCTCAATCTTTTCTCCATATATCATGTTGTTGCTTATTGGTCCAGTTGTGAGGATTTTTGTTTTTTTTATGTTGAGGTGTAATCCATACTGAAGGCTGTGGTCTTTGATCTTCATCAGTAAGTGCTTGAAGTCCTCTTCACTTTCAGCAAGAAAGGTTGTGTCATCTGCATAACGCAGGTTGTTAATGAGTCTTCCTCCAATCCTGATGCCCCGTTCTTCTTCATATAGTCCAGCTTCTCGGATTACTTTAACCACTGCACCACCTAATTTCCTGTTGCTTGCAAGAATACATACATACCAGATTGACATGTTTATTCTGGGAGAGGACAGAGAAAGAGGGCTTGGATTCTACTTTTCACTCAATCCTCTTTACCACCCTAAACATGGCTCCTACTGTCTCTGCTTCTAGTTCCCAAGTACTGAGTTCTAAAAAACAAGAAACCTTTCATGCCAGGAGGGTATACGTGGTTGAAGTGACCTGGAAGTAGAGTTCAAATACAGACTTCTATCCAATCTCCTGTTTTCAGCTTTTATCCCTCCCTGCCTTCTTCATAACTCCAAGTTCCCAGGATCTCTGAAAACAATTGGTTGTTTGCATCAGCCATGCCCCCTGCAGGCTTTAGGTTGTAAATCAGCTAAGTGAGGAAACGCCTCTCTCTACAGCTGTCATTTCCTCTCCTGTTCTTTTGCTCTCTATGGGTTTAGAGCTTTAATTCCTATTTTAGTGAGTTTTCATGAGGTGAGGAGATAAATGTTAATGGCCAGTCCCCCTTGTCTAATCTGAAACTTGAATCAAATTAATAAATAAGAATGATGTAATACTTAAGGAAAATTATTGATTAAGCAATTTTTGAATAGATATGATCGATATAATGGATATAAAAAGATCAACATTATTTTTATGTATTCTGTCTCATTTAATCATGAATTTATCTAATGTGTATTTATCAATGACCATAGTTAGGCCAAACCACCTTTGTCTTGCTTGAGACTCTAGAATTTAATCTGTTCTAAATTAAAACCAAGTAGCACAATTTGGAAAAGAACTGTATCATGAGGTATGAAATGACTTTCATGCTTTCTTTGTTTTACTTTTATCATACTGTAGTTATAAGGTTTTTTTTTTTTACTATTATAGAGTACTTCCTCCTATAAGTGAAATAAAAATAAAATTGCGATTGATTAACTGTTCTGTTAGCTGTATTCTATTTAATTGAAATTTTAAACTTATACATTATGACTTACAATTTAATTTTAAAATAAATTTCAGCTATGTGTTCATGACAGAGAAACTTTCCTAAGTGTATGCTTTAAAAAATTTACTATTGTCTTTAAAGAAAAAAAAAAAGCTGATTTTTTTCTTTTTTTTTTTTGTTTTAGTCACTGAAACCATATTTTTGCTGAGAGCAAATAAGCTTAGACCTCAAAGGATTTACTTCGGAAGTTAAAAGGTCCACTTAGGAAGTGAAAACCCACAATGCTCTAATGGAATTCAAACATAGCAAAACCTATTCTCTCCCACACTATCATTAACTGGTATGAGGCTTTTCTGATGAAGTTTAAAAGGCTTCTTTAGTATATTCTTAAAAGTAAGCCAATGTAAGGACAAAGAGGCAATCTGAATTTTGAGAGGTTTATTTTCTCGTTTGATTTTTTGAAATAGTGCAGTATTATTTTTAGTAAGTTTATTGTTTTCTGTAAACTGGCCCTTGGAATAAAAACAAAATCATTGCATGTCTTAATATTAAAAGTCAATAAGGAGGGAACAAGGAAAGACAGTGTGTGAGTCTTTTTTCTATGACATGCCTGGAATTCACTGACAAATAGTTTTTTCTCACTGCTATATTCAGAAGTGTCTCCCAACCATGACAATTAGGTTTCTGAGATCCCTTGGTTGGAGTATTTTCAGTTGCAATGGTTAATAGTTTTTTTTTTTTTTTTGAAATTTGAATAAAGTAGACTAAGGTGCTTAAAATAAAATAAGAAAGCCACACAAAAATACAAAAAGACCAATGATGTGGTATATTTTCTTAAAATATCAACAATTGGTACGTGATACTTAATTTCTAATTATCATTTCTTATTCACTCTAAATTTCACCAGTTAATCTCCTTCAAGGAATTAATAAAATGCCAGAAATTTCATTTTATTTTTTAAATAATATGCGTATTAAAATCTTTCAAATTTCTGACTCAAAATTCTAGATGCCAGCTTTCTGGTCCCAAAGATACTAAGATATTTAAAATAGAAAAAAAAAGATACAATTTTGTTAATGAATTAATAACTGATAACATTCAAGCCCAATCTCAATAGAAAGGAATGAGTACCCTGAGCTATACCTGACATAGTATTTCCTCCACTTTCTTACATATCCAACTGCTTTCTTCCTAAGACTCAAGGATATGTTGAAGATTTGGTATCTACTCAGCTTCCTTTATTTCTCCAGGGATTTAACTCTCCTGTTTTACCTTCTGTTTTAGGAGCTCTGGGGTCATAGTGATTAAGCACTCTCTGTTAACCAGGAGGCCAGAGGTTCAAACCCACTAGCCACTTCACGAATGTAGCAGTTTGCTTCCGTAAAGATTAGAGCCCTGGGAGTCAGAATTGACTTGACAGCAATGGGTTTTTTCTGACCTTGTAAATTAGCTTCTTAGTTCATTAAAGATGTTCTAGATTATGCTGTAGTAATAATCTAACAAAGATTTATTTTTGCTCTCACAGATTCCACTGTGAGTCTACCCCATTCTGCTCTGCTTTGAATTTATGCCACCTGCACATCACCACATACTTTCACAATCACTGCAGCAAGGAAAGAAGAGACAGGTTGGAAAACGGAATGCTAACTTCCACCTAGGAGTAAAAAAGCTCACTCCTCCTCACATGTGATTGGCCAAAACAAATTCCATGATCAGTCTTTGAGTGCAACCTTCTCATGTGCTCAGAAACAGAGAAGGACCAGATTTTGGTGGACAGTGGTAACATCAACCAGTTTTCTTTTCTTTTTACCTACCCCTAGACATTTTTTTTTTTTTTAATTAATTCATGTGAGTTAAAATAAAAATTTCATGGTTGGCAAAAAAAAAAAAAAAAAAGCCAGAAAGAAGTACGCAGGATTTACTTCAGGGGGTTAAGGAAGGATTACTATAACTTTAATTTCAGCCATTCTTCTGCCTCTCACATATTTATAAGTTCTTCTGTGGCTCGATAGATCCTGGGCCCTGTCTGTGAATGAGAAACTCTAAAGAATAACTCTAACTTCTATCAAGAGGGAGTAAAATCGTATCAAAGTGTCTCCTTTGGTCCCATGATATCTACACTCCTGTATCTTACACTATGACTTCATTATATTTTTCATGTCAAAAAGATTATTCCAGAAATATTCCAGCATTTTTCTCTTTCATATATTCTTTCTGCAATATAATAAGACTTGGGAAAGAATGTGGTGCGATTTCAGTCCATAGTCTCAATGTCTGAATTATAATTATGCTTCATTTATATTGCATTTTAGAGGATTAAGAGTTCTGTAGACTGACCAACTTTTAGGTAACTGATCTCTTTACCCTTCTGCATCATGAAATGTTTGCTCTTCACGAGATCATTCCTATCAACCTATAAATATGCTGTACATCCCTACATTAAAAGTTATTTCCTCTTGTTCTTGTATCCCCTCAAGTTAGTGTCTAAATGCTGTGTTTTTCTTCGTAGCCAAATTTCAAGAGTTTATTTTTTTTTAATCTTCACTTCCACACCTATCATTTACTATTTTTATTCATATTTGTGATTTTTTTTCCATTTAGGAAAATATTTTTTTAAAAGAAAATGCAAAGAAGAAAATATTATATTGTCTTCATCCCAAACCAGTCACCATTAATAGTTGATTGTTACTCACACGATTTCACATTATCATTTGTTGAAGAGTTAGTTGTTTCCACATCTCCCTGCCACTCTTACTCTATCTCAAATCAGGTGTCCACATATGCATAGGCTTATTTCTAGACTAGGGTTAATTTCTTTCTTCGGTCGCCTTTGGCTATTTGTCCAAGACCACCAGTTGCCATACTCTTGATTCCAACTCATGGTGACCCCGCATGTGTCAGAGTAGAACTGTGCTCTATAGAGTTTTCAATGACTGATTTTTCAGAAGTAGATTGTCAGGCCTTTTTTTCAAGGCCCCACTGGGTGGATTCCAGCCTCCAACCTTTCCGTTAGCTGCTGAGTGTGTTGACGCATTGACCTTTGGCACTACCCAAGAACTCCATTTGTCTCTTACCATGTTAAATTCTCCGTGTTAATTACTTTAGCTTTATAGCTGCTTTTAATGTCTGGAAAAGTCAGTCTTTCTGCATTGTTCTTTTTTTATGAATGTGGTTACCTATTCTTGGCCCTTTGCTCTTTGGTAAAAAAATTTCCAAGTCAGATTGCTAGTTGCCACAAAATATAGTTAAATAAAACAAACCATATGTGTAACATTAGTGGAAATGTAGTCAAACTGTACCTATTTGGTAATCACTTACGTTATAACAATGCTGAATTCCCAAATCCATGAAATTGGATATTTCTCCCCTTTGTCAGATTTTCTTTAATGTCTCACAGTAAAATTTGCTCTCTACAGATTTTGCACACTTAAAAAAAAATTGCATTTTGGGTTGCTATTGTAAATGGTCACTTTTTATTTTATTTTATTAAGACATTTACTGCTTGTTTCCTGATAGATTTAGAAATGCAGTCGTTTTTTGTAATTTAAACCTTGCTGAAATCTCCATTATATCTATTAATTTATCAGAGCCCTGGTGGCACAGTGGTTAAGAGATTGGCTACAAACCAAAATGTTGAGTTTTAGGGGGATTTTGGTGTAAAGAATCATAATTTACATAAATAATAAAAGGTCAGTTCCATTTCTTACATCTACTTTCATCTTTTTTATTTTTTCCTCTCTCTCTCTCTCCTTTATCTGCACTGGTTAGGACCTCATTGTCATGTTTAATTAGGAGTAGTGATAGCAGGCATCCTTGAATTATTCCTGATGTTAAAAGCAATGTTTCTATTTTTTCCTCAATCAGGTGTGATGTTTGTTAATTATTTTCGTACTCATTTTTTTAAACTGAAAAAGGCTTTCTGTTCCTCTTTTGCTAAAAAGCTCTTTATAAAGAATGAATGTTGAATTTGATTGAACATTTTCCTTCATTTATTAAGGTAATAATATGATCCTTACCCTTTCTTTTGTAATATGGTAAAATATATTAATCACCTGGAGAACTTAGAATTACGTTCTCTTCTTGGTTTTTCGCCACAAGTAAAAGCCAGCTAGAGGTTATGAATGCACAGGGGGAATTTGTGCCTCCTTTCATTGCCAGGGTCAAGATTTTTAAGTTTTCCAATCTGTCCCTCTCTGTGCAGTGGGGTTGATTTTTCATTAAGCTGTTAGTCTTCTGCTTTGTGAGGGGTCGGTCCCCAATTTGATTCTGTGTCTTGGGCAGGCCCTAAGCGTTATCTTCTGTCCTTTATGTTTTATGTAGTCATTAAAGCAGAACCTCAAAGTCCCTAGATTTGGCAGAACCCTCCAGCTGAAAACTAGCACTGGCACTCACTTATCTCCCCCAGTTTTCTGGTTTAAATTCATTTTTAATTTCAGTGTAGTTTTTACTTTTGTGCAGCTTAGCAATGCACTAAAATTGTTTTTAACTCTTTTATCCTATATCTGAATTGTTTGAATCTCAGTATCCTCGAGTCTCTAATCTGCTGTAATGCCAGATGTGGAACATGATTGACTCTGAAACCCATTCACATCTGACTCTTACCACAAAGACACTCTGAAACCATTCTTGTCAAAGATCTTAACCGAATACAATGAATATTTATGTCTTTGTTTTAATTCCCTTTTCACCATAATTCTTGGTTTGACTACCGTATTTTCATGCAAATAATGCATGCTTTCTACTTTAGCTTGCTAACTGTGCCCTCTTCTGCAAAGTATTTTCATAAGGGCTGCTAAGCCAATTTCTTTTTACACAGTGTTGAAAAAAAAATTGACATAGCTCGCTTACAGAAATAGCTCTCGGGGGGAGGGTACAGTTGGCAAACAAATGTAGAAGGTGTGTGCTATTTGCGTAAAAATATGGTACTTGCTGCTTCTTGGAGAACTTGCATCACTTACATTTTATAACAAAACACTCATGTTTTTCTTGTACTTATTTTCACTGTTCCTTCTTAGGCTCATTTTCAGGCACTAAATTCTAAAAAGGTTGAACCTCAAGTCTAGATCCTAGGAATCTTCTCTACAGATTTCTCTAACTGGATTCACATATCCTCGAGGCTTTATATAATAACTATATCCTGACAACTAACAAATGTATATCTCCTGATCACCTTTCTTCTAGGTCTCATCTGACTTATGCAACTATAAAAATGACCTATCCATATATAAGGTTTTCAATTACTTGTCTTGATTTAAATTGAACTCTCCTTTCTCTGAATGTCATTTGCCATTAAGTTCTCCCTCAGCAATGAAAGGAATATTCACTCAAGTAAGCATTTGATAAACAGAAGATATTAAGATATTAATGTTAATGTAGTACCATGTGTTGTGTTTATTTATTTTTTTATTTTTTCTTTACCGTTAGTGCTTTTGGTGACCCAGTTTTAAAAATTCTATCTATCCCAAGGTCATGAAGACACTGTATGTTTTCTTCTGTAATATTTATTTTTCTGACTTTCATGTTTACATCTATTATCCATCTGGAATCTGTTTCTTAACATCTTTTGGAGTAGAAGGCAAGATTGATTTTTTTCTCACATGTATATTCAGTTGACCCATGACTATTTATTGAAAAGACTTCCCATTCTCCCCAATCACATTACAGCATAAACTTTGTCATAAATCAGGTCACTACACATGTAGGATGTGAGGATGGTGCAGAATCAGGCAGTGTTTTGCTCTGTTGTACGTAGGGTTGCTATAAGTCTGAACTGACTCAATGGCACCTAACAACAAAACGTGTATAGGTCTGTTTCTATTATTTTTCTACTCTTTTCAATTGGTCAATATCACAATGTTTTCATTAGTGTAGTTATGTATGTCTTGACTGTGATAGTATACGTCCTCCAGCTTTATTATTTTCTTCAAGATTGTCTTTGCTATTTTCTTGTTGGGAAAACAGTATAACGAACTCCCCATGTACTCCTTACTCAGCATTAACAATCATTAACTTAAGGTCAATCTTGTTGCATCTGTATCTTCACCTACTCCCTCACATCCTGTAGTACTCTGATGCAAGTTCCAGGTATGATAGTTACAAACTTTTTTAGTATGTATCTCTAAAAGATAAAGACTCTTAAAAACATAACCATATGCCATTATCACTCCTAAAAGTATTAATTATAATTCCTTAATATTATGAAACTTTCAAAGATATGATTTTTTTTAATTTAAAAAATAATTCCTTCTTCCATTAGAGTACTAGAATGTCAAAGCAAGAGGGATCCTATACAACACACTTAACTTTTCTAAAGATCAGTTCCACTGTGGTTGAAATAGATTTTTTTTTTTTAATATCTGTCCTATCTCTTTCAAAGAATGATTATGAAATAGAAGAGACAAAATATGTGAAAACACTGACAAAAATAAAATGCTATGTTGTTATATGCACACAAAGATATACATATAACAACAATTATTTCCGCTAACACTTTAATTTTATATAAACCAAGTGAAGTCCAAGTGAGTTCACCTTCTGAAGACTTGGGTAAAGAACCCAAGTTCTCCAAATTGCCTCTCTCCTATTTCCTGAAGCTACTCCCCCCACTGTGGCTTAGAGGCATTTCCG